CGATTTTGATCTTTAGAAGCAGCAAGATAACAGACAACCAAAAATACTGAAGGCTTTAAATGGACTTATTTGATGAGGCAGAACAGCTTTTAGGGACCGGAAGTGTTTCAAAGAAAATTGTTTCCTGTTGTGTTAGAAAACTGGATCATCAAGAGTAAAGAATTTACCTATTTAACTATAACTGTTATCCATTATTTCTCTCCCTTACATTATTTTAGAGCGCATTATTGCTTTCCCTTTGAGTACCACAAATTAAGTCAGCCTCAGTCTGTCCACGTGGTCAGTAGAACTGACTTGCATTTGGTCTTTTCTTAGGATTTTCTTTCTTGCCTTAATTGAAGTCACCAACTATATATATTTTATTTTCTTGCTAGGCAAAGCATTTAAATAAGAGATCCTTATCTCTACCTTTTGAATTGGTGAGTTAATCTCCCTACTTGTTTTATTTTCCCTTGTATTTTTACTTCCCTTCCATATGCATAGTGATAAGTTATTGGTGGATCCTTTTCCCTTTGATGCGTGATTTACTTGGCTCAGTTTCCAATGATTTAGTGCATTCTACTACCCCACTGCCTTTGAGTCACCACAATTCCCTGTTCCTCAACTTTCAAGCCTCTGAAAATAAAACCTTCCTACCATTACATTTTGTAAGGCAATTTTCAGTTTCTGCTCCAAGTCTTCTATCTTTTCCTCTACATTTACACCAGGTATTATGGCATAAGCACAGCTCAACGCAATTATCCTTAAAGCCCTGAGATCACATTCCTCATTCTTGTTTTTGTTCTGAAAAGTTTCTTCTTTTCACAAAGAAGGGGATACATAAGAGAGGCTGCTTCTACATAGCAGCAGTCACTTGTATGAAGGCTGCATAACCAAGAATATTGTTTTCCCACTACAAGCTGGTATCCAAACAGGAATCATAACATGAACAACAGGCTAAAATAATTCTATCCGACTTTTACATATAACGATCAGTGAGTAAAGTTTAACTTTCATTTAGGAAATAAATGAAATAAATCCAGCTATTTGGAGTTAACAGAAGGACACGACCAGCTCAGCTAGTGTATCTCAGTTTTGTTTCAACAAATGTGTTTGTGCACTTGATTTTGCCTCTCCCATTCACACACACAAAAAAGTTCTGGCATAAAATTATATGGCAATGTACAGTATAGAAGAATTTGAACTGTCAAAAAGCATTTACGCAGAAATATGGTTATATATGAAAACTACAGGTATGTTTTAATTGTGGTATGTTGGAATAGGAGAAAAAATACAGTTAAGACTGTTTCTATTTCCATATACAACTTTTATTGCAATACCTGTATTCTAAGTGTACAGATACAAATATAAAATGACCCATGACAGACTTTAAACCTGCCCAAATAGCAAACTGAGAAATTAATTCGGTATTAGAGCCAAAGTTGACAGGACTTCAACAGGTGATAGAAGCTTCCCCAGTGTCTCTCCAAGAACAATCAGGATCCACCATATTTTTGGTCCAAGATGTATGCTTTAAGTTGGCAGCTGAGTCTATGAACGAGTGTATTTACCCCAGATGTGCAGCATAAACACAGAAGCAATAAAAAGAAGACTCATGACCAAAACTGGAACAGGCCCACTAAAAATAAAGAAAAAAAATGCATTAACATAAAAAAAGAGTCTGCTTTGTCCAAAGGCCAGTCATTATCAGCCAAGTGAACTCATCAGTTCATAAGCAATTGTACGAGAAAACTCTTATTCCATTCCCACAGAAATGCCTGAAAGTACACAGAAATGAGATAGCCATCTCTATCAAAAACCACTCCTGCCCCTATGTTTTTAAAGACACAGTTTTACACACCCTAAACATTATGTAACTATTGAGCACAACATAATAACAAAAATCCCACTTATTTAAAATTAGTTAATGGCTCATTATTATTCATTGTTGTGAAAACAGTCTCCAGAAAACTATCATCTGTATTTACTACTCAGATAGCCACCTGAGCAGAGATGTAGTCAGATACAAAAACCAACAGAGTCCTCTAGCGGCTAGTAAAATTTTGGCATAAAATTTGCATTAGCTCTTTTTTCAGAGGTTTGATTTCATTTGAAAACAATGGCAGCAGTGGGTGAAAGACTTCTGTTTTCTTGAAAAAGACATACAGAATGTCAAAGTTAATTCCACTGTTAAATCATTATATAAATTAAACAAATTTCTTAACTTTTTTTCTTCCCACTTTTATACATTGTTTAGAATTGAATAGTGATGTTCTTAAAAAACAGTTTAATCTTAGGGTACATGTTGAGGGACTAAATCAGCTGCTTCATGCTGTTCTGAGACACAACAATTATGTGCACTGTTATACAATTACACACACTCAACGCTGCTTCATACCACTCACTTAATACAATCTCATTTCTGATTTTCAAACTGCCATTGGGAGAAACACCATGAATTCTGTTAACCAGCCTAGATTACCCTCCAGGTTACAGTTTATAAGCAGTTAAATGTTACCTGAATAAAAAAAAAAAAAAAAGAAAAAGAAGTTGAAAATGGACTGAACGAAACAATTTACTAACATATTTTTCTATGACATCATGATCCATGTACTTCAAATGTTTGTAACTGTAATCTTACACTGAGTTTTTATTATCTATGATACTTAAGACTTATTTGGGTATGGAGAACTCTGAACACAAACATAAAGTATTTAGCAAGTAAACCAATGACAAAACGTGCAAAATAAAAAAAAGTCCACACACAGTGACTACATAAGTAACCCCTAACAAGAGGGATTTTTCACTAAGCAACAGAATGTACTTCTCAGTCCCCAGTGTTTTATATACATTTGCAGTTTTTGTCCTACATAATATAAATTGTAACATCGGATGCACAAAATCCTTACACTGTACCTGAAATACTATGTAATTCGTTGAGCCTTTAGCAGTAGTAATATATCAGCTACTCTTTACTGAAGGGATACAGCAATAGAGGAGCACCAGGAACCAGAACAGAGCAACATGGAATTAAACAGGGGGGACTTTTTGTGCGTTTGGTGGGGTTTTTTAAACATGCAAATGGTATTGATCCCCCTACAGAATAATCAGCTCTCCAGTACTGACATGTGTGTCTTGTTTTCTCCAGTCCCTAAGACAACCTGCTGGAACCCTGCAATTCTCCTCCATACACCTGAATCTTCTCAGCCCACACACAGGTTAAATAAATAGATAAATAAACCGATTCAGGCACCTCTAAAGATTTGGTACTGTGCGTTCTCAGAATGTCTTTCATAAGGCTGCATATTACACCACTAGCCCAATTTGATACTCTGTCATGGCTCCACAGGAAACATCACCTATCAATCTTTAAGCAAGAAAGCTCAAGACAAAATACAGGAATCAGGTACCAAGTGCCACAGAAAGAGCAACAAGTTCAGCTTTAGTCTTATTTTCTGAGATGCTCAATCTGAGTTTTAAAGAAAAAAATATCATATCTTACTCTCAGCCAGATCCCCCACAGCTCACTTTTGCTAATAATGTTTTTTAAAGACGTATGTATTTTGTAGCATTCCGTACTACAGTTAAATGTACCTTCCTGAGGCAAACCAAAACTGCTTATTCGACATATTTATTATTTCTGATGTTGGGTACAGATATTAAATATCTGAAGCATCAGAGGTATAATTATGTACAATGTAAAATATAAAACTTTTGATGGAGAGAGGAATCCTCCTGATCATAGCTAGTATGAAATAATCTGTTCTCAGGTTACTTTTATGTATTTTTTCATAATAATTTTAAAGAGCTCATATTTTAAACAACATGAGCATACACAAAAGGCTAAGCTTTCACACTGCTTTATGCAGTGGCAATCACAACCATTTTTAAAAACAACTTCTTCTGAAGCACTTTACTGAGGCAACTTCAACCCCTCTATAACTCATTTTCATTTCTAAGCCTACTAAATAGGATAGACAACTGATTGCTATGGAAAAAAAAATACGTATTAAAAACACATAGAAAGCTGTAAGCAAAAAAGTTGCTCCCAAGCCACAGTTCAGAAAATGTTACCTCTAGTGTGCAGGTGATTTGTAAAACCAACTCACTTTTGCAGATTTGTATCTTACATTAAAAGCCTGACCGTACAGCTACCTGTGGTAGCTTGCAATAAAACCTACTCCTAGTGTTCCAAAACCTGAAAATTGGGAACCACTGTGTTGCAATATAAATAGAAGGGAAAAATCCATCTATGACCTGCTCGTATTGAAGATTTGAACAACTGAGTGTCCATTCAACATCAAAAGTGAAACCAGAAGATTCAAAAGGAAACACTGAAATTGGTAAAGCTGCTTTGACATCTTGCATCACGAATCTATTAACAACAACAAAAAAATCTACCTAATGGTAGAACATGTCTGTATTTTCTGTTTTATTCTTTTTTTTTTAATTGAGCTTTAGTAGACCAAACAACACAGAAAATAGTTGCTTTGCCTATATGTACAGATTTGCTCTAAAACACTACTGTTGCTCACTGTCTTTTTCTTTTCTTTGCCTTGTCTCCTCTCTGTATTCATAATGGAGAAAGCAAGACCTGCAGTAGCAGAACACCACCTCTGAAGACTTGCTGTATAGTTTTTGCTTTTTAAAATGTCAAGCACGTATGAAAATGAAAACATAAGACAACATCAGAGCACAGATTATTCATGGAACAATCACTAACTAGACTATCACCAGCCCTTCCCCAGATGTTCTGTCTGTGCAGCCAGCAGCAGACCTTTTAAATGGCTCCAGAATAAAATATTAATGGATTCTAGAAAAAAAAAAAAAAGCAGCACTAGGAATATCCCTGAGTATCTTGAGGCAGCTTGGGGGAGAGGTAGCCGCTGCCGCCTGGGCTCTCCGGTGGCGGTGGTGGGCCTTGGCGGGAGGAGGTGCGTGGGGAAGGCCCAGGCCTCGACCGAGAGGGGGGGTCTGGGCGGCCGAGATGAGGGAGGACATCTAGAGCCGCGGCAAGAGTCCTGGGCGAGGGGGTGCAGCTCGATGTGCTTGGGGAGGGGAGGGAGAGAACGCACTTGGAGTTCTTGCGAGTCTGTTGAAAGGACTGGCTTTCGGGGCATGGCTCTGAAATCGCATGTACGCGCCAGCGGCACTAGCGCAAATAACGAACTAATGTCTTTTCTTGTCGTGTCTCCTGGTTGCTCTAGGTGTCTGCTTGCATTCCTATACTTAGACTGGCCAGAACCCGTAAGAAGGTTTTGTTTTACTGTCACTTTCCTGATCAGCTTCTGACCACGAGAGAATCTTTCCTAAAGCGCATCTACAGATGGCCACTTGACTGGCTGGAAGAGTACACGACTGGCATGGCAGACTGTATTGTTGTGAACAGCAGGTTCACTGCCAGTGTGTTCAAGGACACGTTTAAGTCCTTATCTCACATAAACCCAGACGTCCTCTACCCATCGCTCAATATCCATAGCTTTGAAACAGTAGTTCCTGCAGATATAGCTGACCTGGTACCGAAAAAGAAAAAGTTCTTGTTTCTTTCCATTAATAGGTATGAGAGAAAAAAGAATCTAGCATTGGCTCTCGAAGCTTTGTGTGAGCTTCAAGGAAGACTGGATTCTCATGAGTGGAATGAAGTTCACCTGGTTATGGCAGGTGGTTATGATAAACGGGTTCTGGAAAATGTGGAGCACTATGAAGAGCTGAGGAGACTTGCTGTCAAGCTTAGTGTTAACGACCATGTCACTTTTCTGAGATCATTCTCAGATGAACAGAAAATGTCTCTTCTTAATAACTCTGTATGTGTGCTTTATACACCAAGCAATGAACATTTTGGCATTGTTCCTTTGGAGGCAATGTATATGAGATGTCCCGTTATAGCGGTTAATTCAGGTGGCCCTTTAGAATCAATCTTGCATAATGTTACAGGATTTTTGTGCGATCCTCTGCCAACACAATTCTCTGAGGCCATGGAAAAAATTGTGAGAGATCCTCTCTTAAAGGACACAATGGGAGCAGCTGGGAGAGCCAGAGTTATGGAAAAATTTTCCTCAGAAGCATTCACAGAACAGCTGTACCAATACATATGCAGATTAACACAATAAAATTATATTCCCATCTTATATTTTACAGCTTTGTATCTCTCATTTGTATAGTGGACCAGTATTCATTGTGACTATGATGAAGAACCTGAGACATCTGAATTTACTTGTTATTTTTCTTGTGCTGCCTTATGTTGCTTGGTACAAAGAACAAGCACAACATGTCCCACTGTCTCATTAGAAAGTGAAAATTTTCATGCGATGGGCTGATCTACCATTGTAGGAATTCTTTTGTGTACTGTGCCTTGGAAAAATGCATAGCTAAATGGCAGTAACTTATTAGGAAATTATGGCACGCTTTAATACTGTATGGTACAGCTGATTCAATTTACAAAATGTGTATTTGTACAGGTGAGACAAGTGTAGCTTTATTTTTATGCATTTAAAATATTCATTGGTTATTTTAAGTAAAAGAGTTGTCTCAGGTGAAACACGGACAGAGTTGTACAGTCCAACCAATTGCATGTTTAAAAAACCCAACACTGGTAGGGATATGAATGGTATGGTTTGAAAATGATTGACCTTTTACTGTACTTCTCTTCCTAAATTGCATCATGTAGTCACACTGGGTGTCATAAACAAGCTTGCAGGTGTGTGGAAGCTGCAACTGGAATAAGAGCAAGGACATAAGACTACCTCAGGCAGAAATGTTAGTGCTGAAATTCTATGTCTATGCAGTTCTTAAGGATGTAATTTTACTTTGAGAGTTTCTGGGTTGTAGAGACTTAAATGATATTCCCTTTATTTAATGTTTCATTCTAAATGACAGCTAATCTGGAACAGGCAATAAAGGCATTTTATTTAGCCTCTTTCAGTGGTAACTTCTCAGTAGAACTTTCCTGAATACTTTAGCAGGGGGATACTTTTCTCCTAATACAGTGACTGTACATGTGACACTTACTTGATATTTTTTTTTCAAGTGTAATACTTCAGTTTGGGCAAGGAATATCCTGATTCTTTTTTAAATCTACCTCTCTTTAGCACATCTTTATTAGTGGTGGTTCTGTTTGTTTTCCAGTAACTTACACAATCCCTACAGTTGAATTTTAAGTCTGAAAATGCATTGAGTAACTATACAGTTTCCTCATTCTTTGAGAACCAGTTTTATCTATAAAATATAATTCTGTAGTCTGAATTCTGCAATTTGTATTTAAGATACACTCAGGCGTTTTCACATTTAGTACTTCACAACAGAGAGATCAGTCTTTCTGTTGCTTAGGACTGCAACCCTGGGTGTCCGTATAAAGCTTATTTAAAGAAAAACAAACAAAATTCCATGATCAAAGTCTGTCCTTGTCTTTAATCAGGAAGTGGGGATGCTACAATGCTTGTTCATGGATTGGGAGCAGGTGGTCTCACAGGTCTGTTTCCAACATTTCTGTTCATGTCAGAAGAACTGGCAAGCCTGAATCTATCATCTCTCTTGCATTTGTGCTCCTTCCCCACACTTTAAAAATTTTTCCTAAACCTTTGTGTAGCTTTTTCAGGATGGGTATAGCAATGAGTGACTAAAGGGCCTGGAGAAAGAGTGTGAAAGTAATCTGTGGTCATTGATGTTAATGCCTTCAAGATGTATTTGGTCAGGGTTTTAAGATCCAGTGAGAAGGTGCAAGAGGGTTGGAGCAGTTTCCTGTGGTTGCTTAGTTTATGTTATGTCCTGCTCTCCAGATTGTACTGGAGTTAACCTGGAGCCTAAGGTACACACCAATGCACCCTTGCCAGCATAGCGGCAGGGGTAGCTCCCGTTATGCTCAAACCTTGGTCTCCAGCCCTTTCCTGAGCTGTGTTGCTGGCCAACATGTGCCCAGCCCTGTGCCCTGCAGCTCCCGTTGGCTTGATTCCATGGATTTCACTTGGACTTGACCTGCTATCTCACGTTTACTCACTGGGACTGTCAACCAAATCTTACTGTCACCAGGCTGCCCTGCTTGGGTACTGTGCCCTGGCTGGTGAGATCGCTGTCCTGTGATGTGATCTCCTTCAGCTTTTGACTGTCATCCTTTGCAGAGCAGCCACAGTCTTGATGCTTACTCACAGGTAGCATGGGCCATCTCAAGCCCTGAGCTGACTATTGTGGATCCTTCCCTTCGAGCTCCCCATGAGCTGCAGGTTAACCTCAAATTCCTGCAGGAAGCTGTTGTCACCATGTACAGGCATAGCACAGCACTTCACACTGCTTCAAGATCTCTTCCTCCCCGTCTTGAGCAACCTGATCTAGTTGAAGATGTCTCTGCCTATGGCATGAGGGTTGCACTTGATCTTTAAAGGTCCCTTCCAACCCAAACCATTCTACGGTTCTGTGATCTTCCAGAACCATTCAGTGGGAACTGGGCAATGGTTTGTTAGATGTGGCTAATCTTTACAGTCTGTCCAGGGGCTGTGTTTCTCAAGGGACATTAGATGCTCAGCAGTAATAATCTCCCAGCTCTCAGGGCAACCTGAGAGTGGATTGTGACCACATGGAAGACAGTGACCCTGTACTCCAAAACCTGATGACTTATTTGGAGAATTTTGGGGGACCACAACTGTGCAGTGGCAAAGGGTGTCATCTTGGAGCTCCAACAGGGGAAGTAGTTGGTCACTGACTACACAGCTCAGTTCGTGGAGTTGACTGGAAACTGGGTGTGAAGAGCATGACCCTCAGAAGTCTAGGGCTGTCTGTGGCTCTCAGGATGAGGTGTTGAGGACTTGCCTACTCCAGAGCCTGGAGAATCCTGTCAGACTGTCTTATCACCGGAGAAGTACCTCGCTCTGCCAGGAAGAAGATATGCAGACCTCTGGAGGAGCTCCACCATGTTTTGCTCCACCTTCCATACTATCCCCAGAAGAGGAGCCTGTGGACATAGGCACCACCCACCTCATTCCTTATCCCAAGAATGAGGACACAGATGGAGAAAAGGGAATTCCTTTACTGTTCTAGAACTGGCAACTACTGCACCAACAAACCACCTGCCCTGACAGTCATTTGGTGCAAGTACATGTGAGGCAGCTGGTGTGGCTGGCAGACTTTTGGGTTGGAAAACAACGCTGGTGATGAATGGACAGCTAACAAGGGAGGGAGGGAGGGAGGTCTGGCAGACAAGGTGGGGAGAGAAGCATCTCATCCCTCGGTTGCATTCCAGGTTCTGGTGGTAGGTTAGCACCATTGTTGGTTCTTCTGCTACTTCAAGAATGTGCTACCACTCCTCAGAGGCAGCTTTGATTTCCAGGTGCTGCTTGTCCCAGATGTCATAATTCCTCTTCAGTGGGAGTGAGCTGCCTAAAGAAAAAGACATAGGGTCACAGCTCCTGCTTTGGGCCAGATTCTGGGAGAGTATTGCCCCAATGGCCTGGAGGCATATGCTTCCACAATGAAATGCCAGTCAAGGCCTGGGCAGGACTGTGAGGCAGGCCGTGGTGAATGCCTGTTTCAGTTCCTTATAAGCTGCACATGCTTCTTATGCCCCTAGAAAGTGAGGCCCCTTCCAAGTAGGTGCTGTTATAGGAGCCGTGATACTGGAAAACCCTGTTAGGGATCATCAAAAGAAGTTGCCAAATTCTAAGAAACTCTGCACTTCCAGCATGCTAGAAGGGAATGACCAGAAAACTGCTATCTGAACCAGATACAGACACTATGAGGATCTTGTGACACTATTTGGTCTCCTATATGCTCTGACCACCTTCCATCATCATTGATAAATGATGCTCTGCACAGCCTGCTTGATAACTATGTACCGATATTCTTGGTATCTTCACATTCTCCAGTGTTCAACAGGCACACAGACTATGCTGAGTAAATCCTGAGTCACCTGCAGCAGTGACGACTCCATGTCAAACCCCACAGATTTGCTCTTTTCAACAGCACAGGGTGGGATACCTGGTGGACCCCAAGTGCTGGCATGTGGATCCCAGGTAGGTTGACACTGCCTTAAGCTGGCAGGCTCCTGTGAAGGGCCAAAAACCCCCATACCTCTTTTTGACAAAAAAATAATGGAGCACCGGGAGTGGAGGTCACTGGGAGTGAGGACAGATCAACCCATGTACCAGATTGTCCTTGAGATGCTCCTCGATGGCTACTGATTTGGAGCATAACAAAACCTAGATGTTCCCAAAAGGTACTAAAGGAGTTGGTGGGCAGGGGTTGTCACTCTGGGTGCAGAGGAGGTTAGAAAAGCCTGTGGATCTGCCTCTGCATACTGATCACAGCTCCCTGCAGGGCTTGGGGTTGAAACAGAAACTGCAGGGCAGCCATGGGGTCAAGTCTTCTGACACATAGCTGCAAGGAGGCTGCGAGGGCAAGCCCTGCCTCAGCCTGAGGGCCAGTCTCCATGGTACTCAGCTCAGGGCCTGAGAAGGCCTGAGCTAACTGCCAGGGAGCAGCAAAACCAAGACTCTTCCACAACAGAGAACAAGCCAGGAGCCAAGGATGACCACAATGAAGGCTGGGCAATGATCTCATTAAGAAGGTGCAGACCCACAGCTCTTGAGATGGGCAACTAGAGAAGGGGTGGTGTCTAAAAAAGGTCCTATCAACAACAGTTAGTGATCATCAGGCAGAAACAAGGTAACATGTCAGGTTCAGGTTCAAACCAGGAAAGCCAAACATCTCAAGGACAGGACTAGAAAGAGGTACATCTACAGCACAGCTCACGCAGAAACTGAAGGCCCTGGCCTGAGGGTAAATGGAGCCCCTGCACCCATGAGCAGGGGCTCTGGGGTGGAGGCCCCAGGTGGGGCTGGTCAGGGCCGGTAAGGCCTCTTGGTTTAACGATTGCTGGACTGTTTAGAGGCACTGACACCAAGTTGCTTACGTACAGTGGGGTTGTGCCCTGGCTGGTGAGGTCTCTGCCCTGGGTGTGAGGATAACCCTCAGCTCTTGACTTATGTGCCCATGTGAAGCATGCTCACTCGTGCGGCTCCCTGACAGCTGAGGGACTTCTTGAGTCAGTCGTGTTTCTTCGTGTTATTCAGATGGATTTTTCCTCAGTCACTTTTTCCATTTTCCCTTTGAAATTCATGGAAACGTTTACATTCTTAACACCCAACT